GAAAGTATTATTTTCTACTTTCTTGAGTTGTCGGAGTCCCTTTTTCTTTGTTGCTTCAAGTTACAAGCTTTCTTCTGTTGATCATGAAATTTATGTTAGCAGTATACTTTTTTTAGTTAACAATATCTTGTACATACTTGTCATGTGCACTGTTAAGTTAAGTAGGATATTAAAATTTGAAACATTAAATTCTTTCCATCATATTATCAAAATTATATTTACATCAATTATTGTCATCTGATAGTATATTGCATATTGCAATCCTTAACTGAAAAAGTAGCCAAGGTCCACTAGAAATTGTGATCTTAGAGTTCAACTTAGTTGTCTGCATATTATTATTTTTATTTCTTCTTTTTTTAAAATCTAATTTTTATGTTTTCTCTAAGGTTATGGCACCTAGTAAGCAATGGATGCAACTTGTTGACAATTGACTTGATGAAATCTATTTAGCCGGTGTGCAAAAGTTTTTAGATTATAGTTGAGACACACTTGCTAGTGTATGGTATAATTCGAAACTATACTTTTTGGTATCACCATGGAGAGCGTTTGGGTGAGCCATTGACTGAATCTGAAGAAGATGGTGATGCAGTAGAAGAATGTGAGAGTGAGGATGAAGTAGAAGAATTGTTGAGAGATCTATATCTTAATCTTGATTAAGGAAGTACATAGACAATTTGTGATGATTTACTCGAGGAGGTACCAAATGTTGAAGCAAAAATTTGAGGGTGTTGACATGAATGATCATCGTGATCATATATTGGGATGGATGAATGAGTTATGGAACAAATGGAGAGGACACTTGCATGCCAATTATGTGAAGGATAAGCCTATCCAACAATCTCTTAGGATTATTCCAAGGGGAGTAGGCGAAAAAAGAATGGGAATGGTTAGTAAAGGAACATTTTGCTTCTGAAAGTTTTCAGGTATGCCCACTGATTTAATAGTATATTTTCTAGTCTTTTACGGCTTGATTTCCCTCGTTAGCACCAAATATGCTCAGTTGTTTGATCCATGTTATTGAAATAGTTATTGTGCTTTGAATTGTTGCATCATCCGCTTGGTATAGACTGCTCCATGAGTCCTTCAATCTTGCTTTGCTGAACTGTTTTTTTTTTGAACTATCAATGTTATTGTACATTATCAGAAGGGCCTGAATTTTGGTTTGGAGCTTACCCCTGGACTAGCTTCTTTTACATTCTCCTTAAAAGGCTGGATGAGAGCTTCATTAGGATGTCGAGTTATCCCTGTAGCTTTCCACTCCACCTTTGTTTTCCTAGGCTTTCTATTCTTTCTGCGTTTCTTTTTCACCACCTGAAATTGAGGCATAGCCTCCTCCTCATCTATTGGTTTCTTCTTAGACCAGCACCCTTCGCCAGTGTGCTAAAACTTCATACAATCGTTGTAGAATTTTGGATACCAGTTATACCAGTCATATTCTCCTGACCAATATCCCACTGGCAGACCTGGGAAGGTAAATCTATAACCCAATTTTGAAGTATTAACGGTTTGTTAAAAACATGTATGGTCCTGCTTGCATAACTGCATCCTTATCTTTAATAGATTCAAATCGAAAAATACAGTAACCCTGCATCAGAGAACTGAAGTTGTCGAACAACTTCTTAATAGTTTAAGGAGAGAATTTGTGAGAAAGATTTATTCCTCAACCCCCCATGAACTGCTTCTTAATGATATGAAAAAAAAGATAGTAATGTTAGAAATAGTTCTGCACAATGAGGGTCTAGGTCCTTCAAATTTGTTATTAAACTTGGATTTCCAATTCAGTAGTAATGATAGCATTGCTACAGCAGTAGCATTGAAAGATAACTAAATTCCCATTATGATGGATTTCCAGGGGACTTGACAGAGAACTCATACTCTTGTATATAGACTACTCGTGTATATGTTCCATTAATTTCTCTTGGAAAATCTTCTAGTTACTTTCTTTTCAAACAAAATAAAAGCTACAAAATGTATTTAGGCAAGAAGCAGCAGGAATGCAGTAAATCGAGCTAAGTTGAAGATGCTTCATCATATTGGTAGTATGCCTATTCGAGAAATTATTTATCATAAGGTACTAGCATAAAACTATTTCATAAATGGAATATTTATAAGGTTTCTGTTATTTGACATGTTTGACTTTGATGTAAAGGGTGGGAAAGATGGCAAACCACCAGATTTGGCGACTATTTTCTTTGAGACGCGTAAGAAAGATAACAAGCTTGTTGAACATGAAGCAATTGAAAAACATGTGCGTTTGATAAATTGAATATGTTTATTACTTGAAATTGTTATGTGTTTTGATAGAAATTGCTCTTTTATATAATTTTTAGGCTAAACTCAAAGAAATGGTTCAAGCCGATCCATCTCTACCTAGCATAGAGATTGTTGAAAAATGTTGTGGACCCCAAACTCGTAGCCATGTATTTGGATTTGGGGATGGAGTAAAGGCAAAAGACTTGAAAGGTGGAACTTCTTCGAAGGTTGAATTATTGTCTGCGCTACGTTCAACTCGAGAGGATAACAAATGCTTGAATGAAGAAAATAAATCCTTGAATGAGGAAAACAAATCCTTGAACGAGGAAAACAAATCCTTGAACGATCGCTTGTCTACCTTAGAAGATGAGATGAAAGAAATAATGAAAATGAAGGAACTATTTGCTGCTCAACAATCACATGTCCAACCTGCGACATCTCCCGTTTCAACTGAATGATCTCTACTTTTTTCTACTGATCAAGTAAGCACCAAGATACCTGACTTTTTAGTTTATTTTGTTGATTTGCATATAGTCATTTTCTACTAAGACTAAATCTAGAAAAAAAATGATGGTAACTACTAGTTTTCTTGTTCTCATTATCTAAGATCTTAAATAGAGCTAGCTAATACTCAATCAAACAGAAGTATAGATACTGCCCTTAGAAAGTAGAAACTGATGTCATGTCAGCTGGTTGTTATAGGTTTTTCAGAATGTATGTATAGTTAAGTAGCTAGATGTTTGGACTGAAGAGTCGATGTTGGATAGGGCCAGAGATAAACTGTTCGAGAGCAAATATACAGTGGATGGTTTTTTGGAAAATCTACAGCTTCATATAATATAGTTCAATTTAGCTTTTCGCATTCACACTTAGTGGCCTTTCTTTTCTTATATTTTATAGTACTTTTAATTTTCTTGTGCACATGATTCTTTTTTGCACAGCAATATTTGTAACTAAAATAAAATCATGAACAAAGAAGCACTATAAATAGACAGTTGCTTCAAAGCAGAGAAATTCATCCAATGCATTATCAGTTCTTGTATTTTTTCAGTCATGAGATTCTTCAAAGTCCTTGTTTTCATTTTTTGTTCTTTCCCATGGCCGACTATTCAGAGTGATCTCGAGATTTATATAGTCCATGTTGAATTCCCTGAAAGCATGATTTCTACTCAATCATCGTTAACGGATTTAGACAGCTATTACCTTTCTTTTTTGCCAAAAACTACAACAATTAGCTCAAGTTGAAATGAAAAGGCTTCTAGCATGATACATTCCTATCATAATGTGATGAAAGGCAATGCAGCCATTAACTGCAGAGCAAGTGAAGGAAATGGAGAAGGATCACGACTTTGTCTCTGCTCAGAAACAGAGGATTTTGTCCTTGCACACTTAGAAGCTCATAATGCGTACTTCATTAAAATTTTCTGCACAGTGTCTTTCTCTATTTGTTAATTTCTGCACTACTGCACTTTTGGACAGCCACTTTATAGGTTAAATTTTCTGCACACAAATAGTATTTGAATTCTTGGTAAATGCATCTCAATGATTTTCTAATTGAATTCTCTTATGTTCTGCAACTTTTGTGGATATTTCTAGATAACACTTGGTGAAGTTTTAACTACTTTTGGGGTAAGCGATCTACCGAATTCTAGTATAAAATTGATATGTATACAAATAGTTATTTATCGTTTTTTAAAATTTTGAACTTGCAGATTTTGAAGGTTGAAGTTTCAAGTCAAGATACAAGCTTAGAAGAAATGGACAAGCTCGTTATTAATTTTCTACGAATGTTATGCAAAACTCGATAGTGCATAGTCTAACTCGGATGTTGGCTAAGTTTTTTGAAGAACATATTGAAACTAACATCATTGGATGTTGACCAATTTATTATGATTAATCGAACTCTTTATATCTATCTTCTTGTTTCTGTCTCTCTATATCTTCTTTTTTAATTGAAAGTTTTAATAGTAATTTTGTATTTGTTGAAGAATTATTTTTATTGTGATATCAACTGATCTAGGACCATTGATGGCCAATCTAGGACCAGAAATATCTCGTCTCTAAAGAATAATCTAGGACGAGAAATGATTTTGGTCCCTATAACAAATCAAGGACCAGATCATTCTTGTCTCTAAGCATACTCAAGGACCAAGTCATCCTCATCCCAAAAGCTAATCAAGGACCAAAATGTTCTCGTCTCTAACGATTACTAGGACCAGGTGTTCATAGACGCTAAAAAGATTTAACGACCAGAAAATAGACTTTACCTAGATATATATTGTCTAGTTGAGACTAGATATGTAGTCTCTAAAAGGATTTAACGACTATATTTTTTCCCGTCTCGAATACCATTTAAGGACCAGTATTTTGTTCCCATCGCGAAAGGTCTGTAGCGACGAAGGCGGTTATGACGGGTGGCGACCAACATTTTCTGGTCTGAAATTTGCTTTTGGGACCAGATTTAGATTTTCAGGGACCAGATTTCCCTTCCTTAGAGGCTGTTTTTCTTGTAGTGTCATCTCGCGAAGAATCCATTTGATGAAGAGTATGAACCACTCAAAACTTATTTCTGTGATGAAGAAGTGGCGTTTGTGGAAGAAGACATTTCTAAAGCATACCCTGGTTAGAGAGTATTCTTTGATGGAGCGGTAAATCGCCAAGGGAAAGGTATTGGAGCGGTTTTAGTGTTAGAATCCGGTAAACACTATCCTATGGCAGCTAAACTCTGATTCGATTGCACAAACAACATGGCTGAACACGAAGCTTGCATCCTTGGTCTGAAGATGGCTATCGATATGAACGTTCATGAGTTGCTGGTAATTGAAGATTCAAATTTGCTAATTCACCAAGTTCAAGGAGAGTGGCCCGTAAAGAAGAACCCAAAGATCACACCATATGTGCAGTATATACAGAACTTGTGCAAAAGATTCCATAGATTGAATTTAAGCACACTCCCAGGATACATACTGAGTTGGTTGATGCTCTTTCCACTATTGCCTCAATGATTAAACATCAGATACAAGTTATATTGATTCCTTGGATAAAGAGGTAAAAGAATAGCATGTTCATTGTTCACATGTTGAAGCGGAACCAAATAGGTTGCCTTGGTATTTTGTCATAAATAAGTATTTGGAGATCGGGACTTATCTTGATAATGCAACGCTCAACTAAAAGAAATCAATATGTTGTATGGATAACAATTTCTTTCCAAGTGGGGAAATCCTTTATAGGAGGACTCCAGATTTAGGCCTTCTCAAATGTGTTGATGCTATTGAGGCTGCGAAGCTTCTTGAACAAATACACGCTAGAGTTTGTGGTACTCATATGGATGGGCTCACCTTGGCGAAGAAAATCCTCCATGCCGGTTATTTTTGGATTACTATGGAGCATGATTGTTGCAAGTTTGTGCAAAAATGTCAAATACATGGGGATTTGATTCGAGTACCGCCTCACGAACTCTATGCTATGAGTTCGCCTTGGCATTTCGTAGCTTGGGGCATGGATGTCATTGGTCCAACAGAGCCAGTCGCCTCTAACAGACACAGATTTACTTTGGTTTCCATTGATTACTTTACCAAGTGGATGGAAGCAGCCTCACATAAATCGGTGACCAAGACAGTTGTAGCTGATTTCATTCGTAACAATTTGATATGTAGGTTTGGAATACCGGGATCCATCGTTACCGACAATGGAGCGAATCTCAACAGTCATTTGATGAAAGAGATATGTGAGAAATTCAAGATTACTCACTGGAACTCAGCCGCTTACCGTCCCCAAATGAATGGAGTGGTAGAAGCCGCCAACCAGAACATCAAGAAGATCCTGAGGAAGATGATTGACAATCACAAAGGTTTGCATGGGTTTGTTGCCATATGCTTTGTTAGGCTATAGAACGACTATCAGAATGTCAACTGGAGCAATTTCATACCTATCAAGGTCGAAATACCTTTATTGAGAATCATCCAGGAAGCCGAATTTAGTAACGCTAATTGGATTGGCTAGCGGATTGATTATTTGGCATTGATTGATGCAAAGAGAACGATTTTTGTTTGTCATGATCAACTGTATCAACAAAGAATGATTCTTACTTTCAACAAAAGGGCATGAGCCAGAATGTTTGAAATTGGTCAGTTGGTTCTCAAACGCATTTTCCCTCATCACGATGAGTACAAAGGGAAATTTGCACCAAACTAGCGAGGACCCTACATGGTTCGCAAAGTGTTATTTGGAGGTGCCCTGATCTTTTCAGAGATGGATGGCACCGAATGGCCAAGACCAATCAACTCAGATGTTGTCACAAGATACTATGTTTGAAGACTCAGTATGTATTCTGTAACACTCCGTATATCTAACGACCTAAGCTAGAGCCTAGCGTGTAGTCTAGTAGCCTAATGAAGTTTAATCCTAAGTTTAAAGACCTAAAATATTTCCTAACTTAATACTAGGGTTCTAGTGCCTAAACGTCAAGGCACGACTCCCCAAGGACCCCCCAAGGGTCCATGAGGAAGCCCCAAGGGAAGGTCCAAAAAGATGTCCAAAACAGCCTCATCCACGACAGACAACCTACGAGGCATAGTTTGACTCACGCCCCGTAGGTGGGGGTCGTGATTCAACACTTGGTTTCTACCAAGGACCCCCACAATGCCCAAGCCACAGTACCATTCCACGAGCGTTCAGTACGGTTCGTGGAACGACTCACGCCCCGTGGAAGGGTCTCGTGAGTTGAGACTTAGTCTCCTCACCAAGACCCTCATCCTCCCCTCTCTGACCCAAACAACGAGTGACCAGTACAATCCATGGTTCAAACCACGCCCCGTGGACGGGGACTCGTGGATGGGGGCTTGGGTGGACTGCCTTAAGTCGGCCATGTGGGGATAGTTTAGTAACTTACTAATTAATTTGTTTAAGGGTTGGGACTGTTATAATTAGTAATTTTAAGTATATTAAAGTATTTTTAAGTATTAAAACAAGTCTTTTAACCACTCACAACTCACAACACAAAATCAAACCCACTTCCCTCTCAAAACATTCTCTCTCTAAATTCCATTGAAGAACATAGAAGAAGCTCAATATTAGGGTTCAAGCTCCAAGATTTTCACCACAATTTCGTGGGAAAACATCAATTAAAGTATTCAGACTTTGATTCATGGAACACTTTTCTCCATGAAGCCCTTCAACTCTTGATTTCGAAATTGGTATATTGTTCAAAAACTATGGTTTCTATTCCAACCATGGGTTCTTCCTAAAAATAATTTTATTATGTTAATTGAATTATATTATGGATGATTTGATGTTTAATGGTGATATTCATTGTAAAATTCCCCTTGAACCCATGAACACCCCCATGACCCCAATTTCAAGTATTGTGATGGGTGTATTGATGCAAGATGATCACTATGAATTGTTTCTATGTGAATTTAGTTATTAAATCTTGTTTTGTTCATGCCTATGGTAGTATCTTTAGGTGTAATTGTGAGACATGATTCATGACCTTGAAAGGGGTAAATTGCTAGGGTTTGTACATATTTATGGAAGTTGTGTATAACCTATTGATTCACTTAGAAAGTACATCTCATATGACTAATATGTAAAGTATGGTATTGTTGAAAGTTTGTTCTTCCCTTACCCTTATACTTGATGATGCATGAATAGTCTAGGATGAGGATGATGTATTGTGTTGATTGAAAGTCTATTTCTCATGAAAATACTATGAATGTACTGTGAAAGTCCTACTCACACACTAATGTTGATTCTAAGGTTGAAAGTACATTCTCACCTTTAATGAATCTATGAGCTACTTTGATGGATTGTATTGAATGA